TATGAAATGTATATCTAGTATAGCTACTGTTAACGTATAGCATAGCTAAATATGCAATGTGTTAGATGCTCCAGGTAAATTAAACATTACATATTTGTTGTTTCTAAGTATATCTTATTTAGCCATGCCATGACACTGTAATGTAAAAAAAAAAAGTAAAAAATGTTTACTTGCAGCGAACTGCTTGCTTTTATCTTGCAGCACTGGGGAAATAATAAAATACAAAAAAAAAAAGGAAAAGAATAATATCAGATTTCATATCCAAATATTCACTATATTGCAATATATAGAATATCGTATAGTCACTTTGCTTTTTAATATGCAGGAATTCATGACATTGTTAGTATTTTTCCCATCTCTGGACAGAAGAGGCTAGAGATTGTGGTGTTGTTATGCTGTGTGCTAGTTTTGATTTAGGGCTGCAAGCTGTTTTGCTGATTCGACCTTCTACAGGTCTCAAGGATGATTGTGTTGTCTTCTGATTTATTTCAGAGCTAAAAGAGAAATGCTTGAGGTGGGTCTGATTGTGTAGTGTGTTGATTACATGATAAAAAGCCACACATGAAAAGACGGTGAGTGCAATCTGTCGTGCAATATGGGATTTGTAGTCTGGAAGTCCACTAAATTAAAAAGCACAAATCCAGTCGAGCAGTTGATGATTAAACTAAATCATTACACAAACAAAAACTCAACAATTACTGATTAGTGAGGCTCATTACTTAACCTTAGGGTCTGAGATCAGATTTCAATCTTTATGTGGCAGACAGTCAAGCAGAAGTAAACATACATAGACTTTGAATGAGGGAAGTGAGCCAACGTAGATATTTTGAATTGGGCTCTTTTGAATTTACCACCTAGCAACCACCTAAAAAGTCTTAACATTGTGCTGGCGAGTATTACACAAGCAAGAACCACAAAATCTCTTTGCTCATTGGAATCTAGTTGAACGTTAACTCCGCACCTACTGGATTCTACTTCCATTGCACTTTCATCAACACTCATCATGGATTAAATGACCCAGTTTTCTAAAAGTGCTTTCCTGCTTTGCCCTGTGGCACATCTTGCAAGTCAGTCATGACAGTGTTTGCTAGCAGTACTTTGTGCTGAAGTTCTGACATAGTCTCAGCCTCAGACGTCATACCCACGGACCGTTGGCTGAACGTCTGATGCATGCGGCACACAAAAGTGGAAACACTTCAGGAGTTTTGAAGTGGTCATCGGATTGGTTGAATTATACAGGATTTCCGGGAGACGTGTGTGTCGCGTTCTTTAACGTTCCGCCTGGAAACAAAGATGCCGTGGCGCCAAACCCCCTCACGAAAGAAGAAAGCCGTCGTGTTTACAACTCTGACGATGAGCAGGGGCGGACTTACCCATTAGGCAAAGGAGCAACATAAAAATCAGAAAAAGCAGCTATACAATTATAGGACAAAGTTTTACATATAGGCTATGCCATTATAATTTGTGTTTTATTTTTTAATTGTACGGAATTTTAGTTATCCATCAGTTATGGTGATGAAAAAAATGACAACAACCGTCCGAGTCAGTGGCGCCTGCAGGTGTACGGCACTGTAAGTAAGCGCTCAGACTGACCTCAGATTTGCCCCGCAAACATTTCAGCAGTTATTATAGGCCTGTGCGTCCCATATTTCTGTCGACTGAACCAGCCATGGGTAAAAAAAAATAGGCTAATAAATAATTCACATATCATACAAAATTGCGTTGCAGCAAATCCTTTACATTTTCAGGTACTTAGAACAGAGCAGCATAAAAATCTGAAAAAGCAGCTATACAATTATAGGATAAAGTTTTACATATAGGCTATGCCATTATAATTTGTGTTTTATTTTTTAATTGTACGGAATTTTAGTTATCCATCAGTTATGGTGATGAAAAAAATGACTGGCCATCTCCTCGTTGGATGTGCCTTTAGAGAGAAATGCACGGATTACATAATGAAAGAGTTTCTATTTTCGATTTGAATTATTTCGTTTTAAAGTAGTAATTTAAAGCTTTCTATATATTTTTTATCATGTCTGTGAGGCAATTAGCGGAGTTTAGATTCATCATTGTGAAGTGCTCCTGTTCAAGACCGAGATGGCAGCGTTTGTTTTCTTTATTTTATAAAAGCACAACGTTTTGTTGATATTGTGAGTGCACACAAATAAAACTAGACCCTTTACAGTTTAGAATGATGTATTACTCTTACCTTTATGAGC